TGCTTGAACTAAATTCTTCTGTTACTGGTAAGTTTAATTACCGCTGGTCATCTTCCTACAGTCTAGCAACCATTCCACGGAAAACGCGGACCCGGAAGATAACATAATCATGAGCACATCTTCCGGGGGTATATCTTTGGCGCATGGGCACTGGACTCAGTTGTGAATGGCTCTGCAAATGTGAATGTATATTAGATGGCAGTATCAGCTATCGTGTGCTGGTTCTTGAAACACAGAACCTCTTCGTTTAGAATGCTTGCCTTCAAAGAGGACGATAAATGCTCTTGCCCGTCCGGTGTCGTTCTGTCGGGGAGACTAACAAACACGTGATGAGAAACTCCTACACTCACCACAAATCTCCAGTTGGAGTTGAGGCTGTCAAGCATGCTCTTTCCGTGGTAACAGGGGTCATGTTTCTCAATGTGCTGCTCTCTTCAAAGTACAAGAACAGACATTAAACGACAAAATAGGCACAATATGAGACACTACCTTATTTCCCCAACCATAGTGCTTACCTTTTGTCTCTGCAGTAAATATCTCCCATTGCATGCTGGACGCAACAACTGAATCTATTCTCTCTGTGTAGACAATACCTGCCGTCGAATGATGGGTATTAAACCACAGAGCTTCTTCATTTGAAAAGTTGATTTCCCTGATTGATTCTATCCTTCTGTTAGAGAGACTAAGAAACAGGCGATGAGAAAATCATGAACTCACCACAGGTGTCCAGTTGGGGACAAGAAGACCATCTTTTTCCCAGGCCTCGATAAGTGTCCGGAAGTTAACTTCGTATTGTACTTAATCCAGGCTTTTTAGGATATCACCGTAGGGCATTGGGGCCGGTGGTGTGTCTGGTTCAGAAAGATAACCCTCTCCTGCAAACAAAAAAAATATTATATTCATATGGAAGTAAGCCAATAATATATATGTTAACAGATAACGTATTGGGACTAGCTAAATTCAATTACATTGAGCCCTGCGATATTCCCTCTAATATGTCACGTTGGATCCCTCTCTGAAGCGTGTGCGGTTCGCGTAGACGAAGTTTTAACTTGTAAAGCCGCCGCGCAATCTTTCACATACATATTTATAACATACTTGTACCTTATTTACAGACACTTTATTTCTCAACGTATTGCTGTCTTTAAGATATGCAAATATAAATTAAGCAATACCAGTACTGGCTTTTGACCGTTTGGGCTTATTACGCAGTTATTCTGCAGCCGCTGATGGACACCGGCCCGAATATGCCTACATGAGTTTGGGCTGTCTGTATAGAATATTGACAATACGGATTTTCTCCTGAAACAGATTTATGTGATTCCCAGCATGATTTTTGCCTGGATCGCTCGTGTCTTACGAGTGGTCTTTACTTGCACAGCAAATGGACAAACTTCATACACCAGGGCCGTCCAGTTCGAATCATTTTCCTTGGGTTCAGAACGGCGTTTGGTAACATACCTCGCGGTCGAATCTTGCCTAAAACTTGCCAAGGTGGTAACCAGGATAACGTTAATACCGCAAAATCCGGCAGGATATTAGTAGAAATTTCAGATTCACAGGATCCAGTCATATTTATTG